GTGCCACGCCACACCGCCCAACATCCCCTCCCCCAAGCGCCATGCCACCCAAACCCCGAGCGCCGGGCCGCGCCAGGCTGCCCAAAATCCGAGTGCCGCGCCGTGCCAACCCCTGCCCCTGCCAGCGCACGCCGCCGAAGCCCCCGCCCCCCCGTGCTGCGCCGCTGAAACAAAAACAAACAAACAAAAAACCTCGAGCGCCGCCCCACCGAACCAAAAAACCAAAAAACCCCGAGCGCCCCCGCCACCCCAAGATTGGCTGCCCCTTCCAAGATGCCGCCCCAAGCACGTGCTTGGTCGGCTGGTGCCTGGGGGTTAAATAGTGACCTTGGGCTCACTTTCAATGTAATTAGCAAGGCAGTGACAAGAAGGGATTGCTGTCCTAGTTTGCATTCGACAAATCCTTCGATTTGGTGCCGCGCCGTTCAAAAATCCACTTGAATCGGCTTGGGTGTGAAAACAGGCAGCTGGCGACAAAGGGTTATAATAATAATGGGCAGCAGAACAAGTTGGGCAGAAATTCTAGGAGGCCAGGCGGCCTGGTGCTAAATAGGGTCCTTTACCCTTTGGGTTGGCGGTCACTGACGGGTCTGTAATGCATGTTTCCAAGGACGGTACGTGCTGCACCTTGAAACTCATGATAGCCACGTCTGAGCAAAGCCGCTCATGAGGGCAATGAAGGTCTAGGAATGACCGTGAGCTCAGAGCAGAAGCCAGCCAGCATTATACAAAGGTCTGGGGTCTCAGCCCAAAGAGATGGCCATTCCTCTCCGTACAGCCACAGCGAGATCACAGCCGGAATGCGACAGCCAGGTCAGGGCAGCCCAGCATCAGGCAGAGAGAGGCAAACTGGGGGTGATGCAGAGAAAAGCAGCCAATGGGCTGGCTGGATGAATTAGTGAGGTCAGATGAACAGAGCAACTTCCCAGGCTCTGGGATGGACTCTCCATGCCTGGGAATTTTAAAACCGAGACTGGACACGTTTCCACGAGATCTGCTCTAGTTCAAAAAGGGATTAACTCCGGGACGTTCTCTGGCACACAGGAGGGCAGCCTAGCGACGATCACAAGGGAGCAGCCATCTCTCTGTGCTGCGGGATCCAGGAAAGGGCTGAATGCAGCCAAGCAGGAGCGCTGAGCGGTGGCCCAAGGAGGTGCAGTATCATAATAGCAGGTGAAATCTTGGCTCTGGGGGGAGGTTTGCCAGGGATGTCGGTGGGGCCAGGACTCCACCCCGGGACCCTGCGAGGTGAGTGGCGGGAGTCTCGTCGAGTGGGTCATTGAGATGCAGGTGGATCAGCCCGGCCCCTCGGGAGAACCATCAGCCCCCGGGGAAAGGGAGAGCTACTCACCAGGCAGTTCTCGTGCACACACAGCTTACCCTGCTGGCATTTCTGCCCATAGGTGTCGGGGTCGGAGTCAGCCCGGTGGCAGAGCCCGCACTCTGCAGGGGAGGGAAAGGAGACGCCGCTGAATCAGACAGACTGCTCCTGGGCACGGCAGTCCTGGCACAACCATCCTGGGGTGGGGAGCAGCTACCAGGGACGAACAGCGACTCCCGCCGGCCAACGGGGGAATCACGCTGATGGATTGCCGAGGCCTGCCCACTCCCCGGCTGGCTGGGACGCAGGGGCTCAGTGGGGCTGTCAGATGGAGTCAAACAGCAGCGTGGAAAGAGCAGTGGATGTGTTGATAGGGATGTGGCCAGGTAAGCTCACCAGTAACCAGGGCGTGCTGCGTACAGGGTGAGATACACGTCCCCGTGTGGGATTGTTACTTATCAGTGCTAATACTGGCGCTGGGTGCAGTACATCATGGACTCACATCCAACCCAGAGCCCCCTACATCTCCCCAATGGATCCAGAGCTTCTCCAGTACCCATCCACACCAGATCTGGATCCCCTCCTCACAGCCAACCCAGAGCCCCCTGGCCACCCCCAACAGCTCTGGAGCTCCCCCAACACCCCCACATACCAGATCTAGGTCCCCGCCTGTCACAGCGGGAATAATCTGGCCCGTTCTGGAGCTCCCTAAATCACTCTCTCTGGCCTCTGCAGCCGCTGCTCTGCCTTCCCCTTGCTTTACCCTCTGCTCCCCCTGCCCCTTCCCTTTGTTCACTGTCACCCACGGACTGCGCCCTTCCCTTCCCCCTGCATGGTCTCCGTTACAACAGCAGTTCCCTCCCAGAGGGGAAGGCCGGCCCCATGCATGGACCCCTTCCTCTGGCTCCCCAGCATGGCTCACAGCGAGTGCCACTGCCCAGGGATGCGCTCGAGTTGCCCCTGCTACAGCCCCACCGCAAGGGAGTTTATTCTCACCCTCCTCCTTCAGCTTCAGGGCCCGGCGGTTCATTTCAGGAGCGCTGCAAAAAACAAGGAGGGTTTCATAGAATCATAGAAGATTAGGGTTGGAAGAGACTTCCGGAGATCATCTAGTCCAACCCCCTGCTCAAAGCTAACTAAATCTAAATCTAACTAAATCAACTAAATCATCCCAGCCAGGGCTTTGTCAAGCCGGGCCTTAAAAACCTCTAAGGAAGGAGATTCCACCACCTCCCTAGGTAACCCATTCCAGTGCTTCACCACCCTCCTAGTGAAAAAGTGTTTCCTAATATCCAACCTAGACCTCCCCCACTGCAACTTGAGACCATTACTCCTTGTTCTGTCATCTGCCACCACTGAGGACAGCCGAGCTCCATCCTCTTTGGAACCCCCCTTCAGGTACTTGAAGGCTGCTTTCAATCAGCTCCTGGGAAGCCATTGTGCCATGACTACACTATTGGATTCTAGCTGGATTCATGGGGTAGCTTTGAGGAGCTGGCTAGTCCTAGCTTAAAGAGGTAGGCTGGGAGGTGGGTTCAATTCCTGCCTCTGCTACAGACGGCATCTATGTCCTTGGGCAAATCTGTTAATCCCTTCATTTCTCCCACCTGTAAAAGGGAGCTCAGACTCCTTCCACCCTTTGCTTGTTTAGATTGTACACGCTACGGGGCAGGGCCTGTCTCTTGAGGTTTGTTTGTACAGCACCTGGCGCAATGGGACTCTGAGCTCTCGAGGTGCCCAGTCTGGACAATTGAAAACTCCCATCTCTCCCATGGAGTTTCCTGCATCTCCAACTAGGCCCCATCCGGAAATCACCCTCAAGCTGGTTTTTGGAGGAAGAGGCTCCTTTGACCGGGATTGGCCGCCTACCTCCGCATTTACCCCAGACGTCATTAGTCTCAACCCCACACAAAGGCAGGGGAGGCCTTATCTGGTGTGATTTTGGTGATGTCTGGGGAAAGGTCTCTCCTCTGGGGCTGGAGGGCTCATGATGGTCATTTCTGGTCCCTCCCATACCTTGTGTGCAAGAAGCCACGCGTCACTGGCAGGCCCTCCTGCAGGAGGAGTTATTGGGTGGTTTACTTGGACTGTGAGCTCCTCGGGGCAGGGGAAATCATGCAGCGCCTTAGCAAAAGGGGGCCCCGAGCTGGGTGTGCAGCTCCTAGGCTCTACGGTAATACAAATAATCGTAATGTTCTGGTTGGTCAATAGCGCCGAATCTTTTTCCTTTTACTAGCGAAAGCCACATCCCCCTGGCATGTGCTCTGTCCCCATCTAGCAGTGGCTAGGTCAGACGGAGATTAATGAGCCTGCTACAGCCATAGCTAAAAAAGCCATGGCCTTTAGCTCAGGTGGTAGAGGCTCATTGAATACTGATCCCGAGGGCCCAGGTTTGATCTCTGTAGCTGGCAACCCGCCCAGCTGTGCTAGTGTTACAGTAGCGAGAAATGAGAAAAGACTCGTGGGCGCAGTTCCCCTTTCCTGCTCTCTACACATTCTCCCCACATCCTTCCCCTTAGGGAGAAGGTTAGGCCCCTCACTTGGGTCTCAGGAGACAGGTTCAAGTCCCTGCTTTGACACCGACTTCTTATGTGACCTTGGCCAAGTCCCTTGATCTTTCTGAGCTTTGGTTCCCTGTCTGCATAACAGGGATTTTAGCACTGCCCTGCCGTGCGAGGTTGTGAGACTAAATGAAGGCATGTGAGGTGCTCAGACAGCGTGGTGAGAAGGGGCCAGATAAATACCTCAGATAGGTAGATCTGACAGAGGCGGTGACCTTATTAAGGTATAAGGTATCACATACTCACTTCAGACCGGTCTGCGGTCTGCTCTGCCCCCGCTCCTGGTAGCTGCCAAGTGCTGTCCGGCTGTGGCGTGTCATTTCATTATTCCAGGGCTTTGCATTCACTGGGGGGAAGGGCAGAGGCAGGGGTCCAGACCCCCGTCTTACCTAGGGAAAAAGCAATATTTAGTGACGATTGCTCTAAATACATTTAAAAAACATCACACCCCAATCCAGGGCAGGCAAAACAAATCTGCCTTTTTCCTTTATTAACTGAAAGAGCCAACCCTTCGGTCTCTGGGCAGATAAGGAACAAATGTTATGCACTAGAAACCAATTGGCTTCTAACGGCTACTGAAACAAAGCAAAGGAGCTCAAAGACCATGCAGCTGCCAGAATAATACTTCTAGGACACAGCTGACAGGAGGCCAAACGCTGCAGACCTCAAGACTCTCGGATCAGTGAAAACAGACCTGTGACCCATCAATGACTACAGGGGACTCCATGAGACTATGACATCCAGGGCTGGAGGGCAAGCACCTGCCGAGACTCATTTGGGACAAGCTCCCAGGGCCCACACCACACAATGGGGATGCAACACCCATCGTGTGCGTCCCGGGGCTCAGCAAATCCACCTTCCCCAGCGACGGAGCTACCGTGAGGTCCTAGCAGTGGTGTCCCCATGGAGCGCTCCACCCTGCACTCCCCTGTCCACGCCCCGGCTGGGTTCTGAAGGCTTTGTTCTCTGGCGCTAGGCAGGTGCTAGCCGGATCCTTACGGGGAAGGGAGACACGTTGGTGTCTATAAGGGAAGTGTCTATCGCTGAGTCTCACACTAGGTGTCCTCCGGGGAAATACTTATGTCCGTGTCCATTGGATCTGGAGCCAAATTCATGGCGGACACTCAGCAGGACTCCAGCCCTTTGCATGTGTAACCCAATCAGCGGGGAGCTATGTCCCCGTCTCACAGGGGCGTTGGAACAGGTTTTATGGGGGGGTGCTGAAAGCCACTGAACTAAACTGTACACCCTGTGTACGATGGAATCCACTTCAAGCCAGCACCCCCAGTTCCAGCACCCCTGCGGTCTCGCGGTGGTTGGGCCCCATATAGCGCTTGCTGAGCCTGCTACAGCCTTGACCACCAGAGGTGGGTCTTTGAGCTCAGACAGTAGAAGGTCCCGCGCTTGGACTCAGAGGTCTCAAGTTCAGTGCCCGGCCCAGGGGTGTAGAATTACACATCCCTGAACACTCACCTGCTTCCCTCTGGGAGCCTGGTCTTGCAAGGGTTAAGTCTGTTGCCATGTGCAACTCCTGTGGCCTGCAATCCCCATAGCAACCAGGTAAATACACAGCCCATTGACATGTCACCAGTGACCTAGGCAGGAATCCAGGTTCAAAGTGCCCCCTACTGGATGGGACCAGAGCTACACAGCTGCATGTCACAGCACTGTCCTGATGGCAGGCAGTGAAGATTTGCCTTTCACTCCAGCGGTGAGGGCCTATGCTTTTGGAGCAGGGCAATCTGGTTCCTGTCCCCAGGAAGTTACAAGCGGTGCAGCATGGGGACAGCTGTGTAGCTCCTAGATAGACAGAGATTATATTTATACCAGGGTAAAGTCATCCCTAGGATAATGCCAGTAGCTTCCGTGGAATTACTCTGTGACTGATCCGGCCACTGTGTCTAAGACATGGTGGGTTTCATGAGGCTGCGTGCTGGGCAGGGCCGGCTCCAGGCACCAGCTTAACAAGCAGGTGCTTGGGGCGGCCAAGGGAGAGGGGCGGCACAATTCGGGGGCGGCAGGTCCCTCACTCCCTCTAGGAGCAAAGGACCTGCCGCTGAACTGCCGCCGCCGATCGCGGCTTTTTTTTTTTTTTGCTTGGGGCGGCAGAAATGCTGGAGCCAGCCCTGGTGGTGGAGCCACACAGAACTTCACAGCCACAGAGGAGCGAAAACTCAGAGCCTCCTGCTGCAAAAGCACCAGCCCCTACCACCGGTGCCAAAGGAAAATATTCCATAGATGTTAGCAGTGAGGAGTCCCAGACGCACAGTCAGGCAGCTGTGATTCAGCCCCGTAGAGAGCAATGCACCGTTATAAACTAGCCAGGGTCACCCAGGTAGTCAGTGATAGACTGGCAATAAAACCCACCCATCTGCCAGCCTTCAGAGCCAGGACTAGAACCCAGGAGTCCGGGCGGCCGGCCCATAGTTCTAGCCTACAAGTTACAGAAGAAGGCAAGGTGCAAACTCAGTCCCGAGGGTTAAGGCCAGAAGCAGCAGTCCACACCACTGGAACAGGTTGGAGTTGATGAACCACACCAGGTCCGAGCCAAGTAGGTCAGCCAAGGCAGGGCAAGGTGTCAGGAGCAGAGCAGGGGGCCAAGAATCAGGAAGGAGGAGCAAGGCCAGGTATCAGAAGCAGGGCTGGGGCCAGGACCCAGGACCCGGGCTGGGGCCAGGAACAAGACAAGGTATCAGGAGCACCCAGAAGGGTTTGTTGCAGCACCAAGCCAGAGATTCCCCTTAGTTGCACAGCAGCCTACAGGTTTTTTCCCTATGCCTTAAATAGCATGCCCGGGCCAATCAGGAAACACCATGGGCACTGCCACTCAGGGCCTCAGTGGGCGGGACATCCTGTGGGGCGTGAGCCAGTAGGACTCATAGCTTGCAGTTCTCCCAGTTGCCAGAGGTGGCGGTATGGACAAGCAGCTGCCTAGGAGCTACCCAACCTGGGTTCCAGGCCTGTGGCTCCTCCCACCTGTTGGTTCTCAACTGGGGGTCCTGAGTTGTGGGAGGGGGTGTCATGAACAGGAATCGGGGTCACAACCACCCTCTCCTTCCCACGTTGCTAAGTCAGGGAGGGGGCCTAGTATTGAAAAGGTTCAGAGCCAATGTTCTAACCACCAGGCCATACTCCCTCCCCCATCTTTGACTAGAGCTGTTCACTCGTGTCACCAAGCCCTGGCCCCACACTGCTCCACTGCAGGCAAATTTCACCCTTGTTTTATAAATACAACTTGGTTTTTCAACCTTATCCCTTTAACTTCCAGCTGTAAAGGTTGGGGTTGGATTATTTTAATTGGAAATTGATATCGCCAGAGGTATGCTGCTGAGACCCTCATCCCCCCAGATCAGGGATCACACCTGCAAAAGCTTCAGAGAGACAGCCCGGAGCATTCAAAGGTGCGCAGGCCCAGAGATATTTGTAAACACATCAAATTTTATGATCTTGAATCCTAAATCCTCATTAA